GCAGGTCGAAGCTGCAGTGGCCGGGAGCGGCCACTGCCCTCCAGTCTGGATGTCAGAGTGAGACAACTCAAAAAAAATAAATAAATAAAAACAAATAAAGTGCACTCAGTGCCGTGACAGAGGATGTATAAGATGCCATGAAAGTACACAGCTGGAGTAACTATTCCAGTCAGTTATAACAATACCAATTTACAATAATTAAGATATGCTGATTTTTTTTTTCTGAGTACTAGAGCCTCTGTTTAATAAAATTGTAAGCCGGGCTCGGTGGCTCAGCCTATAATCCCGCGCTTTGGGAGGCCGAGGTGAGTGGATTGCCTGAGCCCGCGGGTTGGAGACCCGCCTGGGCAACTTGGCGAGACCTCATCTCTACAATAAATCAAAAAATCAGCCGGGCATGTTAACGCCTGCCTGTAATTCCGGCAACTTGGAAGGCTGAGGCGGAAGGATCGCCGGAGCCCAGCAGGTCGAGGCTGCGGTGGCTGCGAGCGGCCACTGCACTCCAGTCTGGGTAACGGAGTGAGACTCCAACTCAAACAAACAAACAAACAAATTAATTAATTAATAAAATTGTACGCAAATACTGTATGATTTTCTTCCAGTTAACCAACCTACCTCTTAACTCCATCACAAATATAAAACCTACCAGAAACTTACCTCTTGAATTCCTACTCTGATCTTTTTTCTTCAGAAATTTTATTATAAAATAATTAAAATATGTGATATTAAGTTCTTTATTTTTTTTCTTTTGAGTCGGAGTCTCACTGTTGCCCAGGTTGGAATGCAGTGGCACGATGCTCACAGCCTCCTCAGCCTCGACCTGCTGAGCTCAGGTGATCCTTCCACCTTGGCCTTCCAAGTAACTGGAACTACAGGCACGCACCACCATGCCTGGATAATTTTTTGATTTATTGTAGAGATGAGGTCTCGTCATGTTGCTCAGGCTGGTCTCGAACCCACTGGCTCAGGCAATCCTCTCATTTCAGCCTCCCAAAGTGCTGGGATTATAGGCATAAGCCACTGTGCCCAGCCAATATTAAGTTTTTATTTCATTCATATCTACTTGAGCATAATATTTAAATCTTAAATAAAACCAGAAATATAAAAAGCTTCAACTTCCATTGTTTAACAGTACCTGCAATAGAGAGAACCATTTGCTTATTGTTGATTTCTAAAATTAAATGTGATAAAACATGCTTTTTCACCACCAAAGTGAAATAAAATAAAATTTTACATTAAAAAAATTTTTTTAGCCGGGCTCGGTGGCTCAGCCTGTAATCCTGCGCCTTTGGGAGGCTGAGGTGAATGGATTGCCTGAGCCTGCGGGTTCAAGACCCGCCTGGGCAGCGAGACCTCATCTCTACAATAAATCAAAAAATCAGCTGGGCGTGGTAGCGCATGCCTGTAGTTCCAGCTACTTGGAAGGCTGAGGCGGAAGGATCACCGGAGCCTAGCAAGTCGAGGCTCTGGTGGCTGAGAGCGGCCACTGCACTCCAGTCTGGGTGACAGAGTGAGACTCCAACTCAAAAAAAAAAAAAAATGATTAGTTTTTTAAAAAAGTAATTAGAAGTGAGATCTTGCTATGTTGCCCAGGCTAGTCTCAAATTCCTGGGCTCAATCTAACTTCCTGCCTTTTCTCCCAAAGTGCTGGGATTACAGGCATGAGTCACCATGCCCGGCCAAAATGTTACACTTTAATGGACTAGGTAACTACAAGATGACAAGTATGATCACACTAAGAGAGCAGTATAACTGCAATATACAAGACAATAACACAATGTCTCATAATGGACTAGAAATATGTTCCCAAATTCTTTCATTGCACTACTGATAACCACATGTATAAAGTGGTTTTTAAAAAGTGTATATTTCCTTTTCCATTATTCTGTAATAAAATAATAAAAATTATAAGATACTGGGACATGTGAATATTTAAAATAATATAGAATAGACAACATTGCATTTCATTTAAAAAATATATATCAAGAAACTATGGCTGGGCACGGTGGCTCACGCCTATAATTCCAGCAGTTTGGGAGGCTGAGGTGAGAGGAATGCCTGAGCCCAGAGGTTCAAGACCAGCCTGGGCAACTTGGCGTGGTGGCGCGTGCCTGTAGTTCCCTGTAGTTCCAGTTACTTGGAAGGCTGAGGCAGAATGATTGCCTGAGCCCAGCAGGTCGAGGTTGCAGTGCCTGTGAGCGTGCCGCCACACTCCAGTCTTAGGTAACAGAAGGTAACAGAATGAGAGTCTGACGAGAGAGAGAGAGAGAGAGAGAGAGAGAGAGAGAGAGACTGGATCTGTGATTTTCAAAATCTAAGAAGTCACTGCAAGAGTAGTGACATTTAGGTCAGGCAGAAATCAAGAGTAAAGAACAGCAATAATGTTCATGTGACAGACAAAGATATAATTTGATTTGATCTGAGCCACAGAGAGGACCAAGGTAAGTCATTTGGAGTCAATAAATCAGAGTTGACTTATATAAATCAAGATAATTAAAACTGGAATACATTTCTTAAAAACAAGGAAACTTCTTTGATGTAGAAAAATGTCAAACCTTAAGTGAACAACATTAACTAGTAAATTGATCCTGATGTGAAAGATGTATCAGGAAATTAAATAGACACTAAGCACTGAATTTGGTTAGAATCAAATAAATCAGAAAATATGATGTAAAATTAAGAGATTGTGTAACTTTTATCAAATACAATTAACATATTTTTAGTTAGCCTCCAAAAATCCTTTATACTCATATTTATAGCTAGCCTCCAAAAATCCTTTGTGGAATTAGAAGGATAGAGATAAAAATCTAATATATAATAATTAATCAAAAATTTATAACAAGTTAAAATGGAAGGCAGATGTCCCCAAATATATCAATATCTAATTCATACTTTACATTGCTTTATTAAAAGAATGTATAAGAGCTACATTTAAATCTGTGTGTAGATTGTAAACATAGATATACACACCTCAGTCACCTAAACACAAATTAAAAAATTATGAAACTGTCTTTAAATTTTCACCTGGTTTTAGTAATTTGTTAAACAATAGAATTTATCTCTTTTGTGTTGTTATATAAATGCAAACTCGAATCACTTGTGGAAAGAGGTACTTTATAAATAACTTAGTAAATCGTCTCACTAAAAAAATTATCTTGACCATCACCCCTCTCCACTCCTCCCTTGCACCCTCCACTCTTCCATGCACCCCTCCTCCACTCCCTGGTGTCCTCCCTTCCCCTCCCAAAAAATTATCTTTTCCAACTAGACAAAATTTGTCAAAATATTAATACCCAACCTATATTAAATAATTAAATATGTGACTGCAGTTTTAGAATTTGTTAAAGTACTTATTTAAAATAATGTGACTTATAAAGGCTTATCAACAAAGACTCCCATCATGAATAGCTACATACTTCCATTAATTTACTTTTTATGTCTTCTTAGTTATCAATATTAAGTACATTTTATTTAACTAGAGATTAAAATTATAGAGTAAATTCAATAGAACATCTGAAAACATTTGTATTTCATTTCAGTCAAGTACTCATTTTCCAAATCTATAAGGCCATCTGTCTCAAGTTTGAAATTTTCAATATTATTTGGAAAACTTTTTTTTAATGATTGAAGAATATTTCAACACAGTGATGAAATGCACAAATTTAATATGCCACATAAAACAATAAAATACATACATAGGATAACACTTAAAATTCTTTATTTAAAATACCAAGTTATTAAAATAGGCAAAAATGATATAATAAAATGAAATTTTTTCAAAACTCATCACTTTAAAGAAAACATACAAGACATGGATTATAATAAATACAAAGTAGGAAATAAATCAGCACCTGTCATTAATGGGAAGATATGCATGAGTTCAAAATATTCATAATTTCAATTCAGACAAATGGAACACTGCATGGGGGAATGCTTCTTTTGTATTTAGTCTCTTTAGAGGCGTTTTAAATTCCGCTTACTCTGGGCACTTCCTGGGAGAGCATCTTTTCTATTTCGTGGTTTTGCTGCTCCTTTACTACATTCTTCAGACCCATGATAAGCACACAAACATAACACACAAAAATCAAAGCCACAGGTTGTGCGGCTACACAGTCCCCTTTGCTTATATGGCTGGTACTTAGCAGGGGATTGGCACCTTGGGCAAGGTTTTAATGCTTCATCACTGAAAAGTGTTTTGGCAACCTGCAGTGAAAGCACACACACTAAATCTTCCAGTTTCATATAGAGGAACACTTTATTTCAAACTCTGTAAGTATTTCCTTCTAATAATATAGTACTCACCTTAATATAGTCTTCCTGTTTACTACTTAAGTGAGTAAGAGAAGAGCTTGCTAGAGGTGTCAAAACTTCTCCCCAAGGAGATGATGTTGACACTTGTTCTTTCTGAGAACTGGGTGTCCTAGCCTGTGCTTGAACAGATCTTAAAGCTGAGCGATTTAAAAGTTGGAGCCGAGTGGCAGCATCCTCGACATTATATACAGCCCCCTGTGGTAAGAGACAGAAGTCAATGCTGTAATAAAAAAGTTACAGGTTGGCTTTCTGATGCTCATGGATTTCAATGCTTTGAAGTACACCATCAGAATTTTCTCCCTAGACCATTCCTTTTTAGAAAAAAAAATCTTTTCTCATCTACCATTTAAAAATCAAAGAAATATTTTAATAAATTTAAACAACAAATTCTAGCTCTAAGCTTGGTTCAGCAAACTTTTCTTGAAAAGGGCCCATTAGTATATATTTTAGATTTTGCAATCCATGTAGTTGCAGCGACTCAATTCTGTGGTTGTAGAGAAAGTAACTGTAGGCAAGAAGTAAACAAGAGAAGAGGGTTATGTTCCAACAAAGCTTACTTTAAAAACACAGGTGACCGGACAGGACTTCACCACCTTTGCAATCCCTGTTTTAAGCCAGGATCCAAGAAGAGGTGATTCTTGAAGTTTTGCTATGGAATATCATGAAGTCTTTGAAGGTTTCTTGCCTTAGTCATATTCAGAAGAACAGTGGGACTTGTTAGACTATGAAACCCAATTTCTTTGGCTGATTTTTGCAAATATCTGGTATTGATTCATTTTAATAGTTAAGTTTTAAACAACTTTGATACTGTAAAAGGAGAAAACAATCTTTCTCATCTGAATTGTATTCACTACATTACTCAAATATTTATTTAATCAAATATATTAATTAGGCTGATTGTGCCAATCATTTCACAATATACAAATATCAAAAAATTACATTGTACACCTTTAATATATACAAATTGTGTCAATTATACCTCAATAAAGCTGGCAAATTTTAAAAAATCATTAAAAATAAAAAGAAATATTTTTATTGAGTCATCCTTATAGTCTTTTATTTTGTTAAGGTTGGTAATGGGAAAAATAGTAAGGTTTTTTTTTAAACAAATTGACATTCTTAACCAATTACCAAAATAAAATGTACTATAGGTGAATTTCCTTACATGTCCAACTATAATTGTATTTCCTCTCCCTTGATAGTCTCCATTTGCCATAATTGGCACCTAACTGTGGAAAAAGCTAAAACATGACAATTATAGTTAGTAGGATAGGCATAGGAATCAAAATTAGCTAGTCATGAAAACTTACACAAGAAATAGTTTTTAAGTGCATAAGTGTAATGGATAAATATTAGTCTTCAGAAATTAGACTGAATACCAATTGAATATGTTGAACTTATTCAAGGACTCACTACATCTCTTTATATTACATCTGTACAAATGGCTTCCAACCTAGGCTACAGAGCATGACCCAAGGGCACACAAAAAGGAGAATACCCAATGGGTTTTAATATGGTTAATAAGCACAGTGATTGTGCATGCACCAAAAGAATGAATAAAAAAATGTTGCTGGCCTGGCTTAGCCTATAATCTCAGCAATTTGAGAGGCCGAGGCGAGAGGATTGTCTGAGCCCAGGGGGTCGAGACCAGCCTGGGCAACTTGGTAAGACCTTGTCTATACAGTAAATAAATAAATAAAAAACAACAACAACAAAAAACAACTAGCCGAGCATGGTGGCATGGGATCTATAGTTCCAGCTACTTCAAAGGCTGAGGTGGAAGCATCGCCTAAGCCCAGCAGGTCGAGGCTGTGGTGGCTGTGAGCGTGCCACTGTATTCCAGCCTAGGTGACAAGAGTGAGATTCCAACGCAAAAAAAAAAAAATGTTGCTGAAGCAAATTTTAGCCACAGAAGAAACATTCATTAGCTTAACAAATATTTATAGAACATCTAATAGATGCCAAGTGAGTAAAACAGTCTAATCTCTGTCCTCATGGAGCTTAGCATGTGTGCTAATATTTCTGAACAAGAGACAAAGCAGTCAACAAAAGCACATGTTCATGAGTGCCAAAAATTTTCAAATCACAGATTTCATCATGTTGCCTGGAAATATTAAAATGTGAGAATGGAGCTATTTCCTGGTTATTCATTTCCATGAATATGAGAAAACAGTGAATACGAAATTTAAAAATTCAGTGAAAAGGTGTGGTATTCCAAGTCTAATGTTCATTCTCCCTATTCCAAAGCAAACAGATAAAACTGAGATCCAATTATGTATACCTGATCTGTCCCTTCTAGGTTTCACACACAAGGAGCTTTCAGTGACACTATGCAAGTATGAGGAACACCATCAGAAAACTCTTTTATAGTTTTTTTGTTTGTTTGTTTATTTGGGTTAATTATACATTAGGATAGCTGAAGTGGAAAGCAACCAGTTCATGTTGGAGCAGGAGGCAGAGCCCCAGGAAGACATCTGTGTGGAAAAGAAGGTACAGGTAGAATACCTGATTCATTTGGACTTACACAGAGGAAACTTTCAGTTCTGGTGAATAATAAGAGATGAATCAGAGATTTGTATAGAGAAGCACAAAGAAAAGAGAGAGACTAGGCAATTATTAACTTTGTGAAAAAAGTTATACAGGAAAGAAAGCGTAATCATAGTGTACAACATGTTACAGTTGTGAGTCATAATAACCTCAATGCAGTTTTAAGAATGCTGGAAGTCGGGCGTGGTGGCTTATGCCTATAATCCCAGCACTTTGGGAGGCAAAGGTGAGAGGATTGCTTGAGCCCATGAGTTCGAGACCAGCCTGGGCAAATTGGCGAGACCTCATCTCTACAATAAATCAAAAAATTAGGCGGGCATGGTGGCATGCATGCCTGTAGTTCCAGCTACTTGGAAGGCTGAGGTGGAAGATCACCTGAGCCCAGCAGGTCAAGGCTGTGGTGGCCATGAGTATGGGCACCACAGAGTGGGCAACAGAGTGAGACTCCAACTCAAAAAAAAAAAAAAAAAAAGAATGCTGATGCTGGCACCTGATTCTGATTATTTCCCAACTGGTAGTGTAATTATAGTCATAAGATAGGAGAAGGGAGAAAAGGAATTCAGAGAGGGGTTAGAAGGTAGTGGTAGTGGTGGTGAGAAGTTAGAGAACTAACCTAATCCTGTTGCAGAAAAAAAAAGAACTAGCAGTAAAAGCATATGATTTTAAAATATGGAAGCAAATACTAGAAGAAAGAGTTAAAATTACTACCTTGAGAAAGTAAGAATTGAGAGTATGAAAGGATAGGCCAGGAGAATGGTGTGCTTTGTTATAAGCATGATGATCCAGTTTGAGTTTTCAAACAATGTACTTATATTACTTTGAAAAGGGGTTTTCAAAATGTTGTTACAGGCAGGGTGCAGTGGCTCACGCCTATAATCCCAGCACTTTGGGAGACAGAGGTGAGAGGATTGCCTGAGCCCACGGGTTTGAGACCAGTCTGGGCAACTTGGCGAGACCTCATCTCTACAATAAATTAAAAAATTAGCCGGGTATGATGGCACGTACCTGTAGAGCCAGTTACTTGGAAGGCTGAGGCAAAAGGATCACCCGAGCCCAGCAGGTCGAGGCTGCAGTAGCCGTGAACAGCATGTCACTGCACTCCAGCCTGGGTGACAGACTGAGACTCCGACTCAAAAAAAAAAAAAAAAAAAGAAGTATATGGTATATGAAGCCAAATGTTTAAATGTTAATAAGTGCTAGCTTAAAAAACTGTTTTTTAAGTCTGTTCCTAGCATGTAGGGCAGCACACTGAAACAATATATTAAGAAGGCAATTAATATCTTCATTATTATAGGCTCCCAAGTCAGCAGTTGCAGCAGTAAGCAGCCAACTTTTCTTGAAAATAAAAAGGAAATCAAAGTTTTAGTTAACAGCTATCCCTAATATTTTATTGCAATGAGAAATCCACCAATCTGCATCTAGTTGTTCATATTTGTTTATGCCATGCTTCCTCTCAATTACATTTCATTAAAGTAAATATTTACTTAAAGTTTATTACTAAATATTTTTTACTAGAAGAATGCGATAGTGAACTCTCGGAATCTTTTTTGGTGCAAAACTTGAATCTACAATTAAACCTGGGTACTAGAGTGATCAGATGCCTGATACACAAAGTAGCATCCCTGGGAGAAATTCATCAGCTTCTATAGGACTTTTCTTGTAACTTTACAGCCAGACCTCAAATCCTTAACAGAGAAGTTTATGATGCTTCACAGGTCCTAATCACCTATGCTCACTCAGCTCCAACCCTATAATATGCTGCGCTCTCTGCTGAAACCTTTTCCCTGTCTTCCTTACCTAACTACTACTAACTCATCATTCAGGTCTCAAAACTCCTTTTAAATGTCTAATAGAACTCTGAGCTTCCCCTAACACATCTGGATTGTAGTCACCTATATACTTGTGTCACCCCAAGGTATGTACTCCAAGAGAGCAGGGACCATGTTAGAAATGTTCACCACTGTAATGTGAGCAACTGGCATAGTTACTGACAAATAATATCCACCCAAAAGTCTGGATGCAAACATGCTACAAGGGTATCTAATTATAAATAGAATCCAGTATGCTATCAGTATTCAAATGCTAACAGCACATACATTTAAGCAGCAACAAAACCCAACAAGATGTTCTTGATTCTAGGTAGTTTATTTCACTTATAGACTGGGTGAAAATGGAGTTTGGGAAAACTAAAGAGTTTATGAGTGAAAGTTTGCTAAATGAAAAAGGTTAAAAGAAAGCAGGAAAACCAAATTTGGTTATCTAGAAATATGGGATTCTTATATATTTATACAAATTCATTTTAGAAAAGTATTATATATGTTACCTCAGAATTTATTTTCAGTTGTGTGACATAAAATTTCCTCCTCCGATTTGCTTTTTTATCTTGAACAACAATTTCACGCCAACTTCTGCTTACATTCCAAACACTATAACAAAAAGATCAATTCTTATATTGTATACATTCCATAAGATTAACATTTTTTACGTATGGTAACTAATGAGAAAAACTTGTTTTAAAAACTTTGGGACAGTACATTTAAACCTAAAATGTACCTTAAAAATATAATTTAGGTCAAGTGCAGTGGCTCATGCTTGTAATCCCAGCACTTTGGGAGGCAGAGGCAAGAGGATTGTCTGAACCCAGGGGTTCGAGACCAGTCTAGGCAATTTGGTGAGACCTCATCTCTATAATAAATCAAAAAATTAGCCAAACTTGGTATGGTTCCAGCTACTTGGAAGGCTGAGGCAGAAGGATCACTTGAGCCCAGCAGGTTGAGGCTGCGGTGGCTGTGAGTATCCCACTGTACTCCAGCCTGGGCCACAGAGTGAAACTTCAAATATATACATATATAATATATATATATATATATATATATATATATATATATATGACTTGGTCAACATTGTTGTTTCATATTAATTTACCATATGGAAAAATGCATCAAAATATTAAGTATATTCCAGCATTATATGGCAAATTACTATTTTATAAATGGTTGTAAAGTCAATATGAGTCTACTGGGAGACTGATTAAGAGTATTTATCGTCAAATGGGACATTATGATTAAAATTTGGGGCTGGGTGCAGTGGCTCACACCTGTACTCTTATTACTTTTACCTGGAATTAAGGGTTGCCAACACAACCACATGCTTCTCCCTTAGAGGAGCTAATAAGTATATGGAACATGGAGCCAAATGTTTAAATGTTAATAAGTGCTTGCTTAAAAACTGTTTACTGTTGCCTTTGGGAGACCAAGGCAAAAGAATCTTTGAGCCCAGGAGTTACCAGCCTAGGCAACACAGTGAGACCTTATCTTTACAAAAAATTTTTTTAATTAGCTGGGCATGGTGGTGCATTCTTGTGGTTCCAGCTACCTGGGAGACTGAGGCGGAAGGATCGCCTGAGTGCAGGTCAAGGCTGTGGTGAGCCAGCTTGGATAAAAGAGTAATACCCATCCCCAACTAAAAAAATTGGCAACAGGGTACCTGAATGAAACGTAATTGTACACCTAACCCTTAACTGTACCCCACAAAACCATAAGAAAAAATATTGAAAAAAAAAATTGGAACATGATATGCAGCAAATGATTATCATCTGCAACACAAGGGGTTTTTAAAATCAATTTCTCCTATTACTGTAACAAAACCTATTTTGATTAAATAAATGCAAGAACAATTGGTGATACTAAGTGCCAAATAATAAATATTATTATTATGGTAGCACCACAAATTTCCTATTTTGCTAACCAAAGCTTACTAGAATGAAGTAGCTAAAGAAAAAGAAACACAATTTTTTAAGTGATTTCTTATTTATCAATAACTTTGACAATATTAATCAGTAAAGAAACATAGTTGTTCAATTGTTAATCTGGTCTTTTTAATTACCCTAAGGTCAGAAAAAGAAATTGAAAAACAGAAGTCAGTTGGGCACAGTGGTTCACACCTATAATCCCAGCACTTTGGGAAGATGAGGCGAGAGGATTGCCTGAGCCCATGGGTTCAAGAACAGCCTAGGCAACTTGGTGAGACCTCACCTCTACAATAAAAATCAAAAAATTAGCCAGGCATGGTGGCGCGTGACTGTAGTTCCAGCTACTTGCAAGGCTGAGGCGGAAGTATTGCCTGAGCCCAGCAGGTCGAGGCTGCAGTGGCTGTGAGCATGCCACTGCACCCCAGCCTTGGTGAGACTTCTATCTTGGTGACAGTGAAACTCCAACTCAAAAAAAAAAACAACAAAAAACCAGAAGTCACTTTAATGGAGGGTGCAAAGTAATACTTGAGAACACTACTAGCTACCATGGCTACTTTAATTGCCATTGCCTCTCTCTAAGCTGATATACATGCCTTATATTAGAGAAAACAAGAGGAATAGGCAGAAAATCGCCCATTAATGCAGAAGAAATGAACTATAGAATTGATTATTTACCACAGGTATTTTTTTCTTTCTTTTCTCTTTTTTTGAGTCAAAGTCTCACTCTGTCACCCAGGCTGGAGTGCAGTGGAACCATCACAGCTCACCACAGCCTCAACCTCCTGGGCTCTAGTGATCCTCTAGCCTCAGTCTCCCAAGTAGCTGGGACTACAGGCATGTACCACCATGCCTGGCTAACTTTTTTGATTTTTTTGTAGAAATGAGGTCTTGCTATGTTGCCCAGGTGGTATTGAATTCCTGGGCTCAAGTGATCCTCCTGCCTCAGCTTCCCAAAGTGCTAGGATTACAGGTATGAGTCACCCCACCTGGCCTTTTGCCACAGATATTTCAACTACCATCAACTCTCAAGTTACCAAGAATAGCACTGCTAACATAGGTACACATTTCTGTGATACAAATACGATAAGTTTGGAGCAATGAATAGAAGAGGTAATTGTTGAAATGTCACTAAATATCCACACAAGCAAGTGCCCAAAAGTGTCACTCAATTTTTTATATTAATTGGTCCAAATACTCCAGCATATAAAAATAATACTCCTGCTGGGTGTGCTTGCTCACACCTGTAGTCCAGCACTTTAGGAGGCTAAGGCAGGAGGACCATTTGGTTCTAGGAATTCAAGACCAACAACACAGCAAAACCCTATTTTTACAAAAAAAAATGTAAAAATGAGCCATGCATGGTAGTGTGTGCCTGTGCTACCTTGGGAGGCTGAGGTAGGAGAATCACTCGAGTCTGAAGCTGCAGTGAGCTGTGATTGTGCCACCACACTCCAGCCTGGGCTATAGAGTAAGATCCTGTCTCAAAATTTACAAAATCTATATCTCAGCCATCTCCTTAATTCTTAAAGCAAATTTACCATTTGAACATTTTTAAAAGGCACACACATATGGGTACACTAATCTGTTTATTATCCTACTTGAGTTACATCAAATACATTCCTGGTCAAGACTACTCCAAGGGCCTTAAACCTTTTGTTGTTGTTGTTGAGTTGAGGTCTCACTTTGTCGCCCAGTGGCACGATCATGGCTCACTACAGCCTCAAACCCCTGTATTCAAGTGGATCCTCACCTTAGCCTCCCAAATAGCTGGGACCACAAGGGGCACACCATCATGCCTAGCTCTTTTTTTTTTTAGTTTTAAAAGAGTTTATTAGCGAGAAGAAGAGAAGGAAAAAGAAAGATTCATGTCAGAAAGACCTGCACTGACAAGTATCTTTAAAAAAAAAAAAAAAAACACCACTTTTTTTTTTTTTTTTTTTTAATTTCTGTAGAGACAAGGTTGCTACACAAGTTGGTCGCAAACTCCTGGGTTCAAGTAGTCCTCCCAGCTCAGCCATCCAAAGTGGTGGGATTGCAAGTGTGAGCTATCATGCTTGGCCAGCCTTAAACCTTAATAAGACTTTGTGGAAAAATACCGAGTTAGAAATCAGAGTGGTTGGGTGCAGTGCCTCACACCTATAATCCCAGCACTTTGGAAGGCTGAGGCAGGAGGATTGGGGTCTCGCTCTGTTGCCCAGGTTGGAGTGCCATGGCACCATCTAGGCTCACTACAGTCTCAAACCCCTGGGCTCAGGTAATCCTTCTGTCTCAGTCTTCTGAGTAGCTGGGACTACATGTGAGTGCCACCATACCTGGCTAACTGTTTTGCTTTCTGGTAGAGATGAGACTGCTATGTTGCCCAGGCTGGTCTCAAACTCCTGCCCTTAAGTGATCCTCCTTCCTCAGCCTACCAAAGTGTGTGTGGGGGGGGGAGAGGAATAAATAAATAAGAGCTCATTGTAGACTTAGATCAATTCCTATTTACTTGAGTGACTGTTGGCAGGTCACTTAACTTCTCTGGGGCACAAATTTCCCATCTTCAAAATACATGATTAAGCCAGATATATCAGAAGACTTCTAGCTATGAAATTCTACAATTCTCTCCAATCACCTACAATTAATGTATAAAGAAAGGTGAAGAAGCACGTTAGTAGAAGTACTGATCATAAGAACAACAGGGACTCTTTGACCCAAATTCTTGACATATACCTATCAAGAAAGAGGTTCCATTCATATTCTGTGAGACTAGAGGAAAAAAGGGAGGGAGGGAGAGAAAGAAAGGAGAAAAATTTAAAGATAAAAGAAAAAAGAACTTTCTTCATGTTCTCCCCTAATTTTCACCTTGCAGAAATCCTGTTCCATATGACTTCCCTCCTTCATGGACAAGGCATTCCCAAGGGTCTTATCTTCTGCAACTCCCCCAAATTGCCAGCATGAATACAGCTTTATTTTAGTCTTTATAACCCTAGTTCCTACCCTCAAAACTCCTAAATGTCTGTTTCTCCTTAATTAAGTAGCAGTACTCAATCTACTGAAATATCTGTGAACAGAAATTCTTCAGTTTCTAAATTTCTTGAAAGTCTCAAAAGTAATGAACTTTCACTGTTGTTAGTAATGAAAGTGAAATAATCCATATTCCCTTGGTCTCTGGGAAGACCAAATCCTAAATTGAAAGCTAACCATTGCTTTTGGATTCTAGAACTTAAATAATTAACTAGTATTCTTTGAATGTTGTCGTTTCTCAGTCACCACCATGCTTTATATTATTTCTGACCAACTGTAATGACTTTACTACAACATGCAATCTGACAATAGGATGAAAACTAAAACAAGTTCTATGGAGTAAAGTTTGCCATTTTGAAAATGTAAAGTTAAACTTTTGGAAACTCCATTTCCAAACAACAATTCCTTAAATAAAAGGAACTATTTACTAGCAAGGTCTAGTAAATAAACCTTTCCCATGGAAGTTCACTTAAACAAACTTTGCTATAGTGTAAGACAACCAGAGAGAGAAATAATAAAGCAAGACAAACAATCAAAAAAACAGGACAACCACACAAGTCATAGAAAATCTTTCCAACTTAAAAAGAGATAAAAGTTTTATTTCATAAACAACTTTTATTTCTTACCTGCATAGGTTCTCTGCAGTCAAGGAATCTAAAACCATAGCAAGAACATGTCTTAAGTTTCTATATTTTAATTCTGTCAAGATGTCCAGTTTTTCTATACCCATTTTCTTGCCAATCAGTCCTGCAAGTACACACTGCAGTACAGCTATTTTCCCCCTATCCCTCTCTTCTAAGAATTCATGTGCACCATTCTGCTGGACTCTTTTCCTTTTGCTTTTCATAAAGAGTTCATGCACTAATTGCAAGGCTGGGGTGTTTGATAAATTCTTCAAGTTTAAAGTCGAATCCCTACTCTCATCCCTGTTCGGCTGACTCTCTGAGATGTTGGAATCAGCAGCTGGTCTTGTTTCAGAGTCAGAGTGGACAATCGGCTTTTCCTCTTCTGTCTCTGACTGCGAACCCTGCTCCCGAAGGGTGGACAGTCTTCTCGACCTTCCAAGACGTCTTGTCTTTCTTAAAGTGTCCTCCACTTTGAGAATTCCCTTATGTTTCTGAAGGAGTTCTTGGAAAGAACCGTCCTGGTCAGAGAGGGAATCTTCTGATTTATCCAAGCTAAGTGAGTTGAAACCACTGTCTTCAGGTGTTGAAATATGGCCTCTCACTTCAGTTGAAGCAGAACGTGCTTGGCTTGCATTAAATTTAAGATTTGCTACAAGATTACTTACTGGAGTCACAAATATGTCCTTGTCTGTTCCACAAGTTGCTCCACTAACAGAGGAGCCCAGAAGTTGTGGATATGTATTCTCATCATTAATGCATAAACTGCTATCACTAAATTCATGTGTGATAGAGTCTTTAAAACTATTGCCCTGAATTGGAGATATACACTCAACTTCAAATAGGCTACAATTATCTTTGGAGTCATCAACTGTGGAAGTCTTTTGTTGAGAAAAATTAAGTCTTAATTTTTGACAGCTCGAAGTCACTTCTTCTGTTTTTAAAGTACTAGTAACCAAAGGACTAAAATTGTTTTGCCTTGGAAAACCCGAAGCACCGCTTGGAATATTTTTTCCTAAGTTGAAAACTTGGTTGGTACTACTTTCTAGAGAACTATTTTGTGATTCAAAGCTCCCTTTTAGGAGAGAGAAAGATAAGTTCAACCTCCTGCGCAGTAAACATTTTTTCCCGCTGACTTTAGGAGTTTCACAAAGTTCTGCTGTTTTATCCTTTTCTTTCCAAGGGAAGACAAATTTTTTTTGAGTGGGAGATTTTATAGGATGTGTTAAGCCCGGGCTTGAAGTTTCAGGGTGCTCATGGATTAATGTTGGGCTTTTTTCTTTCTTTCTAAAAAATTCATCATCTGTGTTATCAAAGCTGCAAGAATTTAAGTCATTATAGCCACTGTCTTGAACTGAAGATGTGGAACAAAAATCTCTGAAGCAGGAGTAGCTGGAATTGACAGTAGGAGAGTCCACCTCATTTCCTGCTCCAGTATGAGTTTGCCCTGAGTGTTTTTGTGACATCTTCAAAATCTCTGTTTCTACAAAGTGAAAACAAAGTTATTTTGCCTTTTATGAGTAGCCAGGCAGCTAACAGCAAAATACATTATTTGTTATGATTATAGTTAATAATGGAAAATTGTATGGCAATTTTTAAAAGTTACTTTTAAAAAAACCAGATCTACTCCACAAAAATCTGATGTGTATCTTACTTAAAACAACTTTCTGACATCATAAAACCAAAACGTTCAGGTTGTAAATATTCATGGATCATTTGAGTACCCATAGTCTAAGCACCATGCACAATTTTTTTTTTTTTTTTTTTAAGTAGGAATCTCACTCTGTCGCCCAGACTGGAGGGCAGTGGCACACTCCAGGCCACTGCAGTCTCAACCTACTGGGCTCGGGCAATCTTTCCGCCTCAGCCTTCCAAGTAGCTGGAACTACAGGTGTGTGCCACCACATCTGGCTAATTTTTTGATTTATTGTAGAGATGAAGTCTCGCCAAGTTGCCCAGGCTGGTCTTGAACCCCTGGGCTCAGGCAATCCTCTCGCCTCCACCTGCCAAAGTGCTGAGATTACAGGCATGAGCCACCATGCCCACAAATAGTTTCTTAAACTACCCTTAAAGGGAAAAAACCCAGCAGCATCATTTTTAGATTATTTTACCTTGGGTTCAGTGGCTTAGCCTGTAATCCCGCGCCTTGGGAGGCTGAGGTGAGTGGATTGCCTGAGCCCGCGGGTTCGACACCCACCTGGGCAACTTGGCGAGACCTCATCTCTACAATAAATCAAAAATTAGCCGGGCGTGGTAGCACACGCCTGTAGTTCTGGCTACTTGGAACGCTGAGGCGGAAGGATCACCAGAACCCAGCAGGTTGAGGCTGAGGTGGCCGGGAGCGTTCTACTGCACTCCAGTCTTGGCGACAGAGTAAGACTCCAACTCAAAAAAAAAAATGTATTTTGTTATCTTATGATTTTGAAAGAATTAAAGTACATCATTTTAGTTGTCGTTGTTTGAGTCATAGTTTTACTCTGTGGCCCAGACTGGAGTGCAGTGGCATGATCAGGGCTCACTGCAGCCTCTACCTTCTGGGCTCAGGTGATTCTTCTTCCTCAGCCTCCCAAATAGCTGGGACTATAGACACATGCCACCATGCCCTGAGCTAATCAAAATGAACCACTGCACCAGATACAAAGTCATTTCAAACTTGGCATGTTACTCATTCATATCTTGGTTTTTAAATATTTTGTGAGATAAGGTCCAGTTGTAGGCTTGAATTCACAAACAGACAACTATCTGTGGGAAAACCACCATTTAAAATGTTCTTGAAGTCTAGTGAAGTGCAGTGGCTCATGCCTATAGTCCCAGTACTTTGGGAGGCCAAGATGGGAGGATGGCTTGAGCCCAGAAGTTTGAGCTCAGCCTAAGTAACATAGGGAGACCTCGTCACCACAGAAAATCAAAAAATGAGCTGGACATCATGGTGTGTGCGTGTACCTGTATTCCAATTGCTTGGGAGGTTGAAGCAGAAGGATCACCTGAGCCCACGGGGTTGAGGCTGTGGTAAGCCGTGATCATATCACTGCACTCCAGGCTGGGTAACAGGGTGAGACCCCAACTCAAAAATAAAATAAATAAAAATATTCTTGAAGTTGCAAATAAACAATTAAAAAAATTACTTAAAGAATGACTACTCAATAATTATATAAGCAAGGATGACACTAGAAAATATTTTACTCCTTAACATCTTCAACAGTATCATAATATTCCTTTTTTTTCTTTTATTTTTTGAGTTGGAGTCTCACTCTGTCACCCAGGCTGGAGTGCAGTGGCACATTCCTGGCCACCAAAGCCTCTACCTGCTGGGCTGCGGTGATCCTTCCGCCTCAGTCTTCCAAGTAGCCGGAACTACAGGCATGTGCTACCATGCCCAGCTAATTATTTATTTATTATAGAGATGAGGTCTCACCATGTTGCCCAGGCTGATCTTGAACCTGTGGGCTCAGGCAATCCTCTTGCCTCAGTCTCCCAAGGTGCTGGGATTATAGGCTTAAACCACCACACCTGGTCAATATTCCTCCTTTTTAGAAACCTAAAATAAATCTTAACTCAAAGTTAAGAAAGTACATTTATTTCTTTTAAATCAGAATAAGCCAGGAGTGGTGGCTCACACCTGTTAATCCCAGCACTTTGGTAGGCAGAGGTAAGAAGATTCCCTGAGCTTAGGGGTTCAAGACCAGTCTGGGCAACATGGCGAGTCCTCCTCTCTACAATAAGTCAAAAAATCAGTCAGACGTGGTGGCATGCACCTGTGGTTCCAGCTACTTGGAAGGCTGAGGCAGAAAGATTGCCTGAGTCTAGTAGGTCAAGGCTGCAGTGGCTGTGAGCATGCCACTACACTCCAGCCTGGCTGACAGAGTGAGACTCTGACATTAAAAGAAAAGAAATGAAAATCAGAATGTTGGCCAGGCTCAGTAGCTCAGTACTTTGGGACACCCAGGCAAGTGGATTGCCTCAGCCCGTGGGTTAAGACCAGCCTGGCCACTTGGCGAGACTTCATCTCTACCATAAAACAAACAAACAAAAAATTAGCTGGGCGTGGCAGCATGCACCTGTAGTTCTGGCTACTTGGAAGGCTGGGGCAGAAAGATCACTTGAGCCCAACAGGTTGATGCTGGGGTGGCCATGAGCGTGCCACGGCACTCCAGCCTGGACAACAGAGTGAGACTCCAACTAAAAAAAAAAAGAAAAGAAAATCAGAATGTTAAGAAAAAAAGAAATTTATTATGGTTTTTATCACCAGACTATTCAAAGGACACTAAGAAAATTATCATTCCTTCAAAGTTTTCTCCAGGACAAATGCACAAATATTTCTCTATTAAAAGATTCTGGGAAGACTATATTATAGTTGACTGAAATAGGATGGTAATTTATTTATACCTAAATTACATCAGTTAAATGTTAGTAAATGAGCTTAGTTACAAAAACAAAATTTTTCTTTATGGTTTAATGATCTTTAGAAGGTCATTTTTACTGGGAAAAGTATCTAAGTGTTTTTAACCCTTTTAAAAAAAAATTGGGAGTCAGAGTCTCACTCTGTCTCCCAGGCTGGAGTGCAGTCTTCCAAGAGGCTGGGACTGCAGGTGCACACCACCACACCTGGCTACGTTTTTTTAAAAATTTATTTTAGAGATAAAGTCCTGCCATGATGCCCAGACTGGTCTCGAACTCCCGAACTCAAGCCATCCTCCTGCCTCAGCCTCCCAAAGTCCTGGATTACAGGTGTGAGCCACCGTGCCCAGCCTAACCTTCTAAATCTATACTCTTTTTTGATAAATCTCACTGTCCTCTCTTGATTTACATCCTCTCAGATTACTGCTAATGTCTGCACATGCTCACAAGTCAAGAAGATGATCAAACTTTGTGCTCTATACTTTGTATTATATTTTAAGACAGTTTTTTGTTTTCCAAATATTAATAAAATAGAATGTTTTCAAGTTACACCTCCATCAATGAATTAGTTTTACTCCTTTCTGACAATCATTCTATTAACAGTTTTCACTCAATTTGGTAGAGTCCTTTTTAAAAAGGACGATTTCATGTCCTTTGCTGCAACATGAGTGGCCCTGGTGGCCATTATCCTAAGTGAAATGGCTCAGAAATAGCAAACAACACGCATTCCACTTACGTGTGGGAGCTAAACAATGGGTACACATGGACATAAAAGGGAAATAACAGACTCTGGGAGCACCAAAGGAGGGGCTGCCACAAGGAGCGGGGACAAGGGTTTAAAAACTACCTATTGGGTACAACATACACCATTTGGACAATGGGGACACTAGAAGCCCAATCCCCACCCAATAGGCTCACGTAACAAACCTGCATTTGTGCCCCTGAACCTAAAAAGTGAAAATTCAATTTTTAAAAAAAGACTATGATTTTAAAGCAAGTACTATGAATAACTATAGAAAGTAATGTTTTTGTACGCCATGCTTTAAATAAATGATTTTTAAAAGAAAAAAAGTTAAAACAAATATAACTATTCTACTATGTCACCACTAGGTGTCTCACTCAGCTAGAATTTGGGAAACAGAGGCAAATTGTTAGAAATAAAGAGTGGGAGTGTAGATAGCCTCTTCCCCTAAAAACTGCAAGTTACTTGCTACAAAAATACCAAAAAAAACCTTTTTCTGTTCATCTTCACATTTGAAGTTGCCTCCAACGTGCTTTCTCTGGTGTCTTTCTACTACCCCAAGACGTTGGTCTCAAAACTTAATTTAAAAATTATTCATGTACAACCATGCGATGGCCGTTGACTTATTTTACTGACTTAACAGTTCACTGATGAATCAAACAAGGCTCACCTCTTAGATACCCATTTTTAAAAACGAGGCCCCTAGTCCGGCGCGGTGGCTCACGCCTGTAATCCCAGCACTTTGGGCGGCAGAGGTCGAGACGATTACCTGAGCTCAGGGGTTCGAGACCAGTCCGAGCAAAACAGCGAGACCGCGCCTCTACAATAAATCAAAAAATTAGCCGGGCGTGGTGGCGTGCGCCCGTGGTTCCAGCTACTTGGAAGGCAGAGGCAGAAGGATCGCCTGAGCCCAGCAGGTCGAGGCTGTAGTGAGCGTGAGCGTGCCACTCCCTCCAGTCTGGGTGACAGAATGAGACTCTAACTCAAAAAAAAAAAAAAAGAGAGAGAGAGAGAGAGAGAGAGACAGAGAGAGAGAGAGAGGGGCTCCTGATAAAAGGTTGGGAAAACATCACTAAAGCGCTCTTTTAAAAAAAAAAGCACCTATCAAATCAGAAAATGAAATATTATTTAGCTATATTAAAGCTAAAGAGTGAAAATTGCCTTCATTTTTAAAGTGGAAAATCTTACCATCACTAAAGCTTGAGCTCTCAAGATGACAAAGTCATGCAGGTTTCCAAACAAGAAAATCTCTCATCTTTGCCTTTAAAATTCATGCCAAAGTAATACCACTTAAAGAGAAAAACTTTGGTTTGAACAATTAATTGAAATTTGCAGAAGCAGCAGGATGATGCTGAAAGCGGAAGGGTATGTCGAGGACAGGCTGCAGGAGTTACTTTTAACAATTGAAAAGGCCTAAAGCACTTTGGAATTTCCTCTAGTTTTCCAGGCAACAGTAATCTTAATATCCCTTTTTCTCCAGCTAGTGTTGGAAATGAGCAAACTCCCCAAATTCGGGCTGCCGACGCGCCAGTGTGAGCCGCAGCGCTGTCATCGACGTCCCCGAGCTGCCACCAGCGGGCGGGCGGGTAACGGTCTCACCGGGGTGTCAGGGCTCCGCTCGGCCCTCCCGAGGCCGGCCTGGCCCCGAGAGCCGGGGACGGCGAGGAGGGTGGGCGTCGCCTGGAGCGGAGGGAGCGGAGGAGCGAAGGGCTGCGGGGCGCCTCCCTGGTCTCAGGACCTGGAAAACACAGCGGGACGCGGGGTCTGGGGCGGGGGCGCCCCCAGAGGCCCGCCGCGGGCACACTTCGGGGGTCCCCCCTCCCGCCCACCTGGAGACCGCCGGGCGGGCGGGGCGGAGAGGAGCGAGGGAGCCGAGTAGTCGCGGCCGGGTACGCTGGAGAGGAACCTCGGCCGAGCCCTCAGGG